GGACAAGAGATAATGGCTGCTGCTTTACACTGAAAATAACATGTAAAAAGTCTGTCTGTAGAAAGCTCTATTAAACAGTAAATGTATCTCGGGCACTGATGCATCTAACTTCCCTTTTACACTGAAAGTCAGATTTTCAACAGTCTGCATTGTGGTGCTGAGTTCTTGGTACGCCTGATGAACACCACTGTAACTCTACAAGGGGGAGCAACAGCTCAGTAATTTTCTGCAAATTTGTGAAAAAAATATAAAAAAGATATCCCTTTTTATTTAATGAACCTAAAGGCCAAGAAAATGAAGCTCAGGAGGGGCAAGCAAAGACTGCACACTGCTGCTCTATTACCAAGTGCCAAAGCGATGCTCCAGCCAGGGAAGGGGCAGACATGTAGATTCAAGTAGAACACTGCTGGGAAAGTCGCCTGCTTAGTGCTGCAGACCCACAACACCGGCTGCGTTTCCGACAAACATTTACAACACAATGAATAGTGAAGCCTAGATAACCTCAGTGCAAAGAAGTCAGATCCAATATGCCAGGGAAGGAAGCCTTTGGCTTGAGCAGACGGCGGCTCCACTCCTCCAGTCCCGACTTGAGATCCGGACCACGCACATGCATTAAGGCTGGGGGGAGGGGTGCACCGAGTGTGGCGAGGGGGCTGGCTGCGAGGCGGCTGCAGCGGGGGCCGCGGGCTGCATGGGCGGCGGCGGCGGCGGGGGCGGGGGCGGCTGGACCGGGGTCTGTGTGTTGGGAGACGGAGGCGGTGTGGGCCGTTTGAACTTGTCAGGGCTGTTGCTCCTCCGAGGTGAAGGTCTCTGGGGAGCGAAGAAAGGCAGGTCAGCGCATTTCCGGAGGGGTGAGACCTGGGGTTGAGGCTCCTAAAACACCAACCCGAAAGGCCTAGAAAACGCCATTTCCTTATTTATGCCTACTGACTCCTGAATTGGTCGTGAAAACTTAACCCAGTATGTACATCTACATCTAAAAAAACAGCCATGCAAAAGTATGACAAAGCTTGCACTAACCAATCTATCGGACACTTCTGTGAAAGTTATAAAAACAGTTGCGCTGACCCCTTAAATTTTAACTATCAGCTATGCTACTTCAGTTCCTTCTACTGCTTATTTCTGGTAGGTTTTCCTTTTTTTTTTTTTGTATTTTTTAGGGAAGGGTCTATAGGGTGGTTCAGGGTCTCACTACTAGATCTCACTCGTAGTGATCCGCCTGCCCAAGAGCTGGGATTGCAGGTGTGCACTACCACGCCCAGTCTCAATTGCATCTCAGCAGGCGGCAGGGGCCAGGGCCAGAGCCAGAGCAGCAAGCCCGGGAATGACCCCAGCCCCTGAGCCTGCTTGCACACACTTTAATCTGCTGAGCTAGCTGGCCGACCCAGGTTTTCTATATTCTAAAGGCTGCAGGCAAAAAAATGTTCGAACTTTAACACCAAGGCCATCAGCCTGACCCAGGTGCTTCATGAGTCCCTGAAGGACGTAGAGAACAAAGCCCTGCTCTGAGCTAGCTTCTCCCTGGAAATACCCTCTGTGCTCTCCAATTTTCTCCTCATACTAGCTACGTTTAAACTGTTCCACCAGCCAACATGGCAAGTTCATAGGAAAAAACTCTCTTGAATACAGTTAGAATCAGATGTGCTTAAGCTTCTTCCCAATGGAGGAAAGAAAATGAGCAAAACTAGAAACAAAGTTGACTTCGGGAAGAATATTAAAGCTTAGTGACCTGTGAAGAGGCAGGCAACTATTTTCAGATGTTACCACAAGCAACAATAATTGTTTATGGCTAGGAGCTGGCTAGAGTTCAGTCGAGGCATGGGCCAGAGTTCACATTACATTTCATGAAGGCTAATTTTGTTGTCTTGTATTGGGTTTCTGTTTCATTTTGGTTTTAACCACACTGGACTTATTTATTTTACAGCAATTTCTCACAGAAAGTGAAGTTACAGCTTTTCTTCCTGGGAAGGAGTTTAGTTTCAACATGAGAACTCTGTGCCAACTATCAGGAGCTCCCAGCCTCATCAAGGGAGAAAGGTAGGTGAGGGGACAGGTATGTATCTGGGGGAGAGCACCAACCCAGTCTCCCAGAGCCGGGGAGAGCTCTGCTCCCCGCCACAGACACTCACCGTGATGCCGTGGGGGGTCCCCATGTGCTGCACGTGCAGCCCCGGGGAGTTGTAGTAAGACATTCCGGCTCTGGTCAGTGATGTCGGGGGCGTGAAGCCAACAGCATGGCTTGCGTAGGAGAGACCTGGAACAGACAGCGAGTATCATTTTAAACCCTGTGATCTTGTGCCTTTGAACGTCTAGGTTTTTAAATGCAGAGTTCGAGTTCCATAAAAAACAAAACCACAAAACCAAAACCAGCAAAACAGAAACCCAGGCAGGAAGGTAACGAAACAAGCAAGTTCAGCTCGATTTCAACATGAACACAGGAGATGCGTGTAGAGGGCAGCAGCAGAGTGCTTGCCTAGCGTGTGAACAGCCAGCCCCTGGCTGGGTCCCTCTTTCCACCTATAACAAGACAAACAGCAAAGGGCCCACTGTCTGACACAGCACCTGACTGGCAAGCGCAAGGTCCTGGGTTCGATTCCCAGTGCCAAAAAAAAAGAAAAAGTCCTTAGCCTGCCAGCAGTGGGCTCCCTGCAGCCCTTTTCCAAAGCTGAGAAGGGGAGGCACCAGGCTGTCCCTGGTGTCACAAGACAGCTATACAATTGTTCTTTCTGATTCTTGTGGTAAACTGTTAAAGATAAGCCATCAATGATAACAATATTCTTAGCTACATTATGACTCTTCTGAAAGTTTACTAGTAAATAAATTATAGAAAGGTGTTTTAAGTTGCCAAGTAGGTTTTCTTCCCATTTGCCTTAACTTTATTTGTTGGAAAGAAGTTATTTTGTCAGTGAGCCAATGAGAGCCATCAGATCATGAGCATTTGCCTTCTTGGACACTGAGGTCCTGTGAAGAGCAGCCTGTTCTCCAGCCAAGTGTGTGCTAGCAGGGTGGCTGTGCTTCCAGAGCTGATGCATCGTGAGATCTTAGGGTTCAGCGCATCCCCCTGGCTGCAGTGACAGTTGAGGATGTCTCAGAGTGCCCCATTTTCTCCTAGATGAGAACCCCTGTGACATTGTCATCCCTTAGAGACAGTGTGGTACTGTCCATCCTCTCAAGACCTAAAGCTCCCAGTAGAAGTCTCAGCTCTGGTGTCCTCTGACGTGGCTTCAGCATTAAAGCGGATGCCTTCTCAGAGGTGAAAGTCGAGCTCCACATGTAAGGAGGAGGCCTGAGATACACGGGCCATAAGCAGAGGCTGCGTGTCGGCGTCTGCACCATGAGGCCTTCTGGGCAGCTCACATCTGCAGCCAGACTTGCGCTCAGAGTGCTCGAAGTGAGGAGCTGTCAGCAGCCCAGCATGAAGGCGCAGACATAAGGACAGAGGAGACCTCCCGGAAGAGAGCGGAACGTCCACAGCTGGGTTTTTTAAATGTTATAACATTCCTCTATATTTAAAAAAATTTCACATAGAAAATTTTGTTTTTAGATTTTAAAAATGATAAGTAGCTCTTAGTTCCTGTCTATCATCTAAACACCAAGTGAATTTTTGAAATAAATAACCAGAATTTAAAAAATAAAAAATAAAAAGGGCCCACTGTCACTTCTCTGGAGGAGGGACACAAATGGCTGACAGGTCTGTGAAAAAAAGCTGCACTCTGCTAATCACCAGAGTGACGCAGGTCAGAACCACAACGAGATACCCAGACTCTCGAGGAAAATGTTCTTTACAAAAAAAAAGCAAGAACACAGAGCAACTGGAACCTTCATATGATGGTGGAGATGTAAATCAGTAGCCACTGCAGACAACAGCAAGGAGGGACCTCCCAGAATTGAAATGACTACGATGCACACAAGCAACGCCACTTCCAAAGGAACGAAAATCAAGATCTCAAAGCGCTATCAGCCCACTCGTGTCTATTTTGTGTTATTCATGGTAACGAAGATGTGGAACCACCTATCAGCCCATCAATGATGAATAGACAAAGAAAAATGAGGACTACGCAGGGAATGGAAAGTACGTCCTGCTGCAGGTGGTAACAACGAACGCAGGGGACGCTGCACCAAGCGCAATGAGACAGTCACGAGAGACAAAACCGCACGGTTCCACTGACTCGCGGAAGCAAGAAGCTCCGTTCAGAGTACAGCAGTGGTGGCCGGCAGGAACTGGGAGGCAGAGAAGAGAAGGGAACCCTGGGGCTCGGGAGGCACACAGATGCCGCCGAGCCCCAAGTAAGCCCCAGAGAGCTGCTGTCCAGCACTGTGCTCCTAGGTTACAGTATGTACTGTATCATACACTTAAAAATTTGAGAGGGCGGATCTCATGTCGTGCTCTTACCACAATCTAATTAAGAAAAAAAGTCAAGCCATTCAGGCCAGGCTAGGACTTCAACTGAGATGGGGGTGGGGGAGATATGAGAGGAGAATTGGGGGATGGGGGAGTCAGAAATCAGATGTAAGGACAAGAAATATACATCAACTATGAGAACTATCGTGTGTGTGTGTATGTGTGTGTGTGTGTGTATGTGTCTTAACAGCAGACAAAACTACTGAGATCTTTGCAACCTGAAGACATTCAATACAGGCAAGAACAGCTAGGTGGAAACCGGTATGTTCAGGTTTCCTGCAAGCTACATATAAATACAAAGTAACTCACAGCCTACCATGCTCTACGTAACCTCCATGGAGGACCCTGGATCAGCTGCAGTGATTTGAAAGCACACACATTCAGACTCTCTTTATTATTAGACAGGTCTAAGCAGGGGTCCATGCAGCAATAGTTTGAAAATGTCCCCCAAAGGACCTACCCCACCGGCAGTCTACGCAGCCCTGGTCTTTGGAGAGTCAGCCCTGAAGGCTTTGCGGGCTGGGCTACCACATCACCCAAGGGCCCAGTGGTCTTGGATCTTGGAGTTTTCAACACCTGACAGGAAGCTAATGCACAACAGATGCCACATGAATGAAGTAAAATGCGAACAAAGGGGAAATGTGAGCGTCTGCCGGGAGCTACCAAGGCCAGCCACTCTGCGCCTGACTGGCTGGTCGATGCCAAGCCAAATCAACCTTACTCGCAGCTTTTCTGGGTTACATGAAAACAGTAAGCTTTCCTGAACTGTCCTTCAGCTTCCAAGAAATATCTGGTCACTGTTACACGGCTCACATGCAGATGCCCCCCAAAGCCTCGTGTGGTCACAGGTAGAGCCTTGTAGAGGTGACTGGACGTAGTCTGTGCGCTGCTGGGATGCAGGGTGGGATGCAGGGACTGGGGCTGCCCTGCCTTGCCTGTGAGTGCTGCCCACGCGAAGGCTGGGCAGCCTGGACAGGGCAGAAGGGATAGGGAGTCACCGCTTGCTGCTTGCTTCCTTTTCTACTTTGCTGCCTTCTGCCTGCCAAAAACCATTTGTCCCCTGCAATGCTCTTCTGCCCTGGAGTCCGCCAACCGCGGACTGAACCCTCCAGGACCTGTGAGCTAAGTATATCTTTC